TGTCACATGCTAAATTACTGTAAATATTTGTAATTAGAAATTATAACACGATAAGAATCTTATCCTTAGGCGGCATCTATAATTTACGTTAAACCAGTATTGTATTGTATAGAAATAGAGAACTTGATGATAATACATTATTTTTGTATTATCTTTTAAGATCTCAATAACAATACTGGTTTAACGTAAATTATGAATGCCGCCCTATCATAAGTTAAACAATAATAAAACTATAGCATAGAAGTAAACAGTTACATACAGCGTAGGATCTAAAAATTCAACAATAGGAACTTTAGTATTGGTAACACATTTAGTTATTTTCATATTATCTATTTAATATACGAAAGGGTATTAATAAATTTTCTTCACAAATTAGGCGGCATCCATAATTATGGATGCCGCCTTAATAAATACATTTTGCGTATTTTTGCAACTTCACAGACAGTGCAGATATGTTTTTAACTCTCTACTTGGCGTTGTAATGCATAAATCAACATCAGATGTTGATGTTCCAAGAAGATTTACGGATGATCTTTTTGAAAGTATCGTTATAAAAAATGTTATTTCAATGAATTATTTTAAAAATATATTTTTTCCAACATTAAATTTAAAAAAAAACCTTATTTACCCAAACAAATGAACTTCTATTTCGTGATCAGGCTATTTATTGCTTGAAATTTTTTCAATTTTCATAACTAATCTGTCTCTATTTTCATTAGTTTTCTTTGAAGAGAGTAATTTCTGAAAATTAAATTAGTGAATCACGTGATAGTATAGCACAGAGATTCGTTTTTATACAAAGTTCTACCTTATAAAGCATCCACATTTTTGCAGAAAGAATGAGTTCATTATCTTGATCTATTTGTCATTTCGATAAACAATTGGCATACTTGTGCCCCACGTTTCAACAATAGTAACACTGATTTTTTTCATAAATCATATTTTTAATGTTTCTCTTTAATGAGAAAATAATTTTAGCAACAGTACTCTTAAAAACTAAAATATTACATAGGCTTTTAATAAAACGGATAACTCAAGCGGCAATTATATATAGTATTAAATATGAGCAGGACAGATGTAAAAAAAAATATTTATTATTAGAATAATAATATAAATAATCTATGAGTTACTTAAATCTATGGATTTCACACCGGTGGTTTAAAATAATCTGGGATTATTTATACATATTATCAGTTCAATTTTCGGTTCAAAACACTAAATTTAAAAACAGC